TGATTTCAACAATGTTTAGTCCAAATTTTTTCAAAACATACACTTTTGGTCCTTATGGCACTGATTTCATCAATTCTAGTCCTTGTGTCTTTCCAATTGTGGTCCTTGTTTCAAGGTTTGAGGAACCAATATCCGTATCAAACCCTGAAATACGGACCAAATACGACAAAAAAAAAATCAATTTTGGACTAAACATGGTAAAAATCAGAAAGATGAGGGACCATCATTGACCTTTCTACATTATGCAGGTACTGGAGCTCAAAATTGGCAACAGAAAGGCAAAGGCTTTTAAATTCTTTTACAAGGAGTGATGTTGTTTGTATGTTTTTTTCAATCTTGATCTTATTACCTATTGAGAAGAGATGCTGATGTCATATTAAATATTTATGATTTTTGTAATTTTTATTTTGTTGATGAAAGATGAGAATAATCTGAATTCTGAATTCTGAAACAGGTGATGTTTTTGCTGGGGTTGGTCCTTTGGCTATATCTGCAGCTAAAAAAGTTAAACATGTTTATGCAAATGATTTAAATCCTCATGCTATTGATTATATTGAAAAAAATTGCGTCCTCAACAAACTTGAAAGAAAAATTGAGGTTTGTATCTAATTATTTCACTTTTTTTTTTTTTAATGTTTTTCTGTTTTGAATTATTTATAAAGTAACATGTTTATATATATATAAAAAATTTGAAGGTATTTAACATGGATGGAAGAAGATTCATTGATGCTATTTTCAAGAGTCAAAGTTGTCGACCTATCACACAAGTAGTCATGAATCTTCCCAAAGATGCAGCTGAGTATCTTGGTATGTTGTATAACAAATAACACGGAAATCTTTTTTTTTTATTTTTTTATTTTTAAATATTTTTATTCAGGAGTTTTATTTATTTTTGCTGATTTGAATTTGGCAGATGCATTTAAGGGAATATTTAGAGATATGGATATGAACAAAGAGTTGATCATGCCAAAAATTCATGTCTATGGATTCTCAAAAGCTGAAGATCCAGAATTCGATTTCCATGAGGTTTGACATATAAAATTTAGCTCAAAGTACAACATAAAACACTATTTTTTTATATTTCACTTTTTTTTTTCCTCGCAAAAATGTTAATATTTTGCGAAACGACCAATGTCATTTTGCATTAAAAAATAAGTTCTTTTTGTAGCGTTTTGAAACCTATTGTCAGTATAAAGTGATTTCGCAAGGTGGTAATATATGCTACTGATTGTTACATTTTTGCGTTAAATGTTACATATCAAAACCGGTATTTAAAAAAAAATGGAAAAAAGTATGACGGTTGAAATAATTAAGTGTCTAAAACAATAAAATTGTGAGAAAACGTTGTGTTACGATTTACATAAAAGAGTAACTATTTGTTGATAAATTTTAATATGTATATATATATTTTTATTGGTGGTGTTAATTAGCGGATAAGAATTGCATTATCGGAAGTGGCATTTGAAGTAAAAATGCATAAAGTACGTCTTGTTGCCCCCGGAAAATGGATGTTGTGTGCATCATTTGTTCTCCCTGAGCGAGTCGCATTTGCTGATCCTATCTTGGAAATGTAATTTGAATTCTATTTTAAAAAGTGAGATAATTTGTAGATATGTTTTTATTAGGGCTAATTGAATTCTATTTTATTGTATTATAGCATCCAAATTATAAATTTGCCTTTATCATATTTTACTTTTTTAGTATTTTATTAGATTATTCTACTTTGATAAAATTGTCCGTTTTTATACATTTTTTTCCTTGTTATTATTCATAGAAAAAGTTACCAAATTATAGCTGTGCAAATTACGTTTGTATTTGGATGATGTTGCTGGTGATAGATTTTCAAAATGAAAAATTAAATATTTTCCTACTCAAATAAGATTACAACTAGGGTATACTATTAATTTTGTCTCTCTTAATCCACTCTTTTGTTTTGATTTAGTAAGTAAGAAGATAAATATAAAGAAAATATATGAGATATTTGATTTCTCATTGAAAATATAATCTTATATGAAGATAAGGAATTGGGATTTTGTAATAAATAAATAAGTGGGAAGTAGTTAATGATAGTTGAATATGAAAATGAATAACCATAAAAGCCAAAAACACTCTATACCATCTCAAGGTAATTGATTTTAAACAATTTTTGTTTTATGGATATAATATCTCACCTTAAACGATATTACAAACAAGTGAACTTCAACTAATTTAGGAGTTGTTTATAGTATTTTTGTCGTTTCAAAAAAAGTTAAATAAACTGTTTTGAAATCAATGCCAAAAACACCCCATAGTATTTCAAGGTAATTGATGTTAAACAATTTTTGTTTTATGGATATAATATCTCACCTTAAACAATGTTACAAACCAATGAACTTTAACTAATTTATTTATTTTATATTTGAATATGAAAAAGAATAATCATAAATGTACTTAAATTAAGGGGGTGTTTGTGATTGTTTATTTAAGTGTTTTGTTAGTTTACTTCGGTTTGACATACTTGATAATGATTTTATTTAGTGTTTGAATGAAACTCAAATATTTTTTTATAAGTCAAAATCTTCTAACTTATGTAAAACAATTTATAACTTATTTAAACCAAATTATCATATAACCTCGTCATAACCCTATACTTTTATATACATATATCCAAGAGTATTTTTTTTGGACATTTTATGTGAGTAAATAGAAATTGCCAAACATTGAAAATAACTTATTAGTTTATTAACACCGAATAAACAAATAAAAAAAAATTATAAACAAGAATTCCAAACACTTAATGTTTTCAATTGTTTCGTTTGATTATGTGAGTAGTTGTAATTTTTTATTTATTTAATTTTCTTTACCAAAAATTAATCTGTGAATTAATTAAAAAGAAGGTTTTACATAGACATAACGGATAAACAAGCAACAAGCTGTGCCGCAACCCCTTTTTGAATGACAAAATTAATTTTTTTTGAAAACAACATTTGTAGATCTTGGAGTCATAACATTACTATGCATGACCCGTTGGATTCTATTGAGTAGTTGCACAACTTATGACGTAATAAAACCGAAAGTATCAAATGCAAAAAGTATAAACACGTGTTGATTTTCCATGCACACTTTCTTATGTTTTGTTACTTTGCATGATACAACATTTAAAAGAGTTTGCTCTACAGTGAAAACCCCACTCCCCAAGCTCACAGTAATTTGAATATTCAAAAACTTTGAAAAATCACTATTTGCATATGTATAAAAGAGGTATTGAATTTTGATAATTTTCTTTTGGAACAACATGATTTTAAGATAATTTTAGATTGGTTTACATGTTAAATTTATTACAGATTACGAAAATAAATCCTTTCTGAAGTTTGTTATTTCTACAAATTCGTTTGTATAATTTATTATAAAAATTGAAAGTTTTTACCAAAATTGTATTACGCGTATATGAAATAATTAAGAAAGAGAAGTCTAAGGCCTTTCGTACAATTCCTCTAGAATATTCGTTACCTTCCTTGACTACTTCCACCGGGGTCAACATCGTGGCATCACTTGGAAGGTTCCCTTTTGACAATTACAAATTAGGTTTATAAACAACTAAATGACTCATGATATATGTTTGAGTTAGGCATACCTTTTCATGATGGTATACATGTTTACCTTTTTCTATAAGAAAGTTGCATAATAATATATTGTTGTAAAAAATAGCTTTACTCATTATAGAAAATGTTAGCGGAAAATGGTTTTGTTAATTGAATTTGTTGGTAGTTATTAATTATAATTGGGATTACCTTTGAGACACATTGATTTTAGTTTTATCTATAATGTGCACTTGTGCATCACCTTGAGACAAGTTGATTTTAGTTTTATTTATAATGTAAACTTATAGGTGCAAATGTGAAATTTAGATAAACTAAAGTAGTTTTGGGAATGGAAACATGGGGTTTCAAGACAACGCCTCTGTTGAAGTTCCAAGGGGCATCACCTCGGGCAGGATCTAAAGTCTAGAAATATGATCCATGTGTAACGGATATATCCATTCGATAGTTTATTGCCAAAAATTTAACTGTTGAATCATTTGTTGCTAACAGACGTGACTTTCCTTCCAATTTCAATAAAAAATGAGTGGCGTAGATACAAGATTTCGGTTATTGCATATTACTTTTCGCTATCGTTATTCTATAAGTTTTAAGTTTTTTTGTCTCAAGAACATAAAATGTAACATGGTATTGTGTGTTTAGAATTTCAAATTTTGCTTGAAATCCACATTGAAAATTTTGGATTATACAAAATTTGGTTTCAAACCCCAAGTTATAGTGTCAAAATCATATAATTTGAAAAATGTTTTCACATATAATACTAAAATTATCCATGTTATTGTTGATATTGCAACCCTCATTTCTAAAAACTTGTGTATACGTCATCTTGCCGATACGATTGAACCTAACCTAAAAGTTGAAACAGACTTTTGCTGATATTTCGACAAACTAGTTACATTTTCAGTTATGATTATGTTTAAAAACCAAAATTAAACACAAATTCAATAAGTTTTATGTGTTTAATCTTCGTACGTTTATTGTTTCATCATTATGAGTCGATTACAAATTTGCACAAAGCTCTTACACCCACTTCTTATATCGTTGTGGATTTTTTTCGTTATTACACCAAGTTAATATCTAGATCTCGTTGCATTAAGTGGTCTAGAATAATTTTTATAAATAATTGAATAGTTTAAAAATATTAAATACAACCTAGTATGTTTTATAACTTTTCTATATTAAAATTAATTAAAATATAAAGTGTGTACTTTTTTTTAATAATAAATAATGAAAAACCAATCAAAGAAGGTAGGTGACGGAACGTAGTTTTCACGTCATAATCTTATCCGACCCGAATAAGTTGCCTTAAACCCCTCTATTTTATTTTCGTTAAAACCCCCCAAAACATCTCCGATCTATTCGCACATTCTCAATTCAACCTTCTGTCAACGATCCACAGCCCTAATTCTCCACTCCGAAATTATGCAACCCCAGAAAACCCTACCGGAATCCGACTTACCGTCGCTCGCCGCCATCAAAGTCAAGTCATCATCCCCTCGTTTCCGTCCTACCAATCCTTCTGCCACCGAAACCCCCACTGCCGGGGCACAACGCAGGATAGGTATCGCTGTCGATCTTAGCGACGAGAGTGCCTTTGCTGTAAAGTGGGCCGTCCACCAGTATCTCCGCCCCGGTGACGCCGTCATCCTGATCCATGTCCGTCCTACTTCCGTCCTTTACGGCGCTGATTGGGGCTCCGTTGATCTCTCCATTGTCGACACTGACAATGAGGAATCACAGCAGAAGCTCGAAGATGATTTCGATACTTTTACCACTACGAAATCCGCTGCCCTAGCGCAACCTCTGGTCGACGCGCACATACCGTATAAGATCCATATCGTGAAAGATCATGACATGAAGGAGAGGCTTTGTTTGGAAGTTGAACGCCTAGGGTTAAGTGCGGTTATCATGGGAAGCCGAGGTTTCGGTGCAACAAAACGCGGAAGCGATGGGAGGCTCGGGAGTGTTAGCGATTACTGTGTCCGTCACTGTGTGTGCCCGGTGGTGGTTGTGAGATATCCCGATGAGAAAGATCCCGCTGCTGCTGTTGAGCCGGTGGTTTCGGTGGCAACAGCCGATGATGAAGAAGATGACCCTGAATTCCATGATGCTACCGATGAACGAAAATGTTAGTTCCCCTTTTACCTTCTCTCTTAACGAATTCCACTTTCTGTGTTTCTAATGTTTAACTTAGTTAAATTATGGTATGAACTATCTACGAGTCCGATGAACATCTTTCCACCATTACCCACAAATAAACGACCAATTTGATAGCATCTGTAGGCGATTTTCAATTAATTAATCTTGTACAATCTTATTTATGACAGAAACATAGATGGAATGGTCTCTGTTTGAATCTTTCATTTAGAGGTAAGGACTAAAAATCGAATCTAATCAATCCATCCATTTTATATATCACAAGATCCAGTGTGTATATAAGTTTATGAACACTTGTAAGCTCCATTAAACAAATATGTTTCTTGTATAAGATTTGAAGGTGTTCTTGAATAATTTAGTTGGGATTTGATGTACCAATTGCAGGATGACCAGAAGGCATTGCAGTGTGCAAAGTCGAGGTGGGATTTAGTCATTTTTTAGTGTTTGGATTTGAATGGATGTCGTATATGATGAGGTAGCAACTCATGCTAGGTTTTTTTTTTTTTTTTTTTTTTTTTTTTTAATGATGAGTATGTTGTGTCTATTATCAGTTATTTAACTGGATCTATGTGACATAATACTTGAATGTAATATAACTATGTCTTTGATTATGTATCTTCAAAGATTGTTGCTATTGTTGAATTTGAAGGTTCCATGCTGGTTTTTGGATTATTTTGGGGGATAGATTTTCATAAAGACTTATTATGTTTTCAACCTTTTACTCAAAAAGCCGATCACTTTACTTATTTTTTTTTAGGAAAAGTCAATTGACATTTTGAAAAAAACTTCAGTTTATACATTGTGATTTTAAGTTTTTTCTATGGCAAAATGCAGAAAAAACACGAACATTTATCTAGCGGCATTCAGAAAAAATTCTTATATTTTGTTTTTATGCAGAAAAAATTCTTATATAAGAGTTTTTTTTTTGAATGCTGATAAATAATTGTTTGTGTATTTTAGCATTTTTTTTTTTGTTTTTGTTTTTTTGTGCTGTTCAGGATCTATTTTAAAATTTTATTTCTCGATGGTTTTCTTTTGAAAAATTTCCTTTTTTTAGGAAGTCTTTTTGAGGAAGAAAACTATCCCTCAAAGTCTTATACAATTCTTGGAATTTTTAAGTTGTATGTTGAATATTTATTAAAATGCTCCTTGGTAGCCCAAAACCGGTAATGTAGCATGTTTAGAACAAAACATTTTTAATAAATTTTTAATTCTGATACAAACCTGGTATGTAACTTCTATTCTTTTGGGTAATCAAACCTATATCGGTATCTACTAAATCAAACAAATATCTAAACTCACCATTGTAACATGTATTTATTTATGTATTTATCTTTTTGAATAATCAAACATATTTTACTTAGACCGAAGAGAGCGGTAACATTTCTAGTACACTGCCACATAATTTTGTTTATGGTGCAACGTTATTTTTTATGTTGCCACCTTGCTAGTTGCTAGCATCCTTTCTTTAACATTTCATAACGAGTGGTAGCATCCTAAACAAATTAGATTTTTTTTTTTTTTTTTAACTTTTTTTTTTCAAACTTAAATACATTATATTTTTATAAAACACAAACAATTCAGTATTAATCAAGAAACTAGCTATACTTTATAGACAAATTTACCTTATTTTAACAAGGATTAATAGCCATTCGTGGGATCTGCGAGACCCACTCCTTATATCTGGATTCATTCGTAACACGAAAGTCCATCGAATATACATTGACAATGGTAGTTGCTTCGATATACTCTAAGCATTGTTTTCGGCAACTACCAGATGCGTGGAAAGAGGGGCTACATCCCCCAACCGGTGGACCATTGGTAGGATTCATCGGACACACGCACAACTTGTGGCCATTGGGTACTATTCGGCTGCCCTTAACATTGGCCAGTTATGACGAGAAAGACCAAATCACAAGAACGATCAAATTCTCTGTGATACCAGCATAACACAATATTCTGCTCGGACGATCATCAATCTCCTTATTGCAGCTCGTACCATCGACGATCCACGACATTGTTAAATTTAGCACACACCAGGGATTAGCAATGGTCCTTGCCATAAACACCAGGGCACAACATTGCTACCAAATCATAGCCGCCCCAGAGCTTGTACGTGCACCAAAGAAGTCCAAGAAGGAATGTTCCACTGAACAACACTAGATAAACAGAGAGTACCCAGAATAGCTTGTGCGAATCGGCACTCACCTATCAGACGAGACCAGGGCACGACTGGTAGCACTCCTATAGCAATACTCCACCGTTTTCTCTTGGAAACCAACAAATCTGACAGGCATTGATCGACAGGTTATAGAACACAACCTTAATATCACGCCTAAAAGCAATCCGGTTAAACAAAAAAAGAGAGGCCAAGCGGAAGAACGGAACAAGGCAATAAATGCAGAAGTGACCGATCTGGTGAACGCCGGCATACTCAGGGAGATAATGTTCCCAACATGGATAGCAGATCATGTCATGGTAAAGAAAGCCAATGGGTGATGGCGAATGTGCATTGATTACTCGGACCTTAACAACGCCTGCCCAAAGGATTGTTATCCTCACCCAGAGATTGATTAGAAGGTCCAATCGCTTGAAGGCTTTCAGCTCAAATGTTTCCTTGACATGTACAAGGGTTACCATCAAGTACAGATGAAACGAGAGGACGAAACAAAAACTGCCTTCCACATTGAAAAGGGGACTTTTTGCTACTAGAAAATGCCGTTTGGACTAAAAAATGCGGGTGTTACTTATCAAAGGCTCATGGACAAAGTATTCGCCGATCAAATCGGTAGGAACATTGAAGTCTATGTCGATGACATGGTAATTAAGAAGTTAAACCCAACTAAGTTCACATTTGGAGTTGAGGAATGGCAATTCCTTTGGTACCAGATATCCAAGGGAGGAATTCTGCTCAATCCCACCAAAATCCAGGAGTTCCTCGAGTCGAAAACTCCTCACAACCTCAAGGGCGTGCAAGAGATTAACGGTAGATTGACGACATTGGGAAGATTCATCGCCAAATCCGCAGAAAAAAAGCTCTCCCTGTACCAAACACTAAAAGGGTGCATAGACAAAAAACAATTCAAGTGGACAGACAAAGCGGATGTAGCATTGCAACAAATCAAAGACGCCCTACACTAAGTACCGACTCTCGCCTACCCGCTACCAGGGGAAAACACTACATATGTATCTAGTCGCTTCTGAAGAAGCTATCTCCTCTGTGTTACCAGTGGAGAGGGAAGTTAAGCAGGTTCCCATCCATTTTGTTAGCGGGGCCCTACAAGGACCAAAGGTCAATTACTTGGCCTTGGAAAACTAGTCCTTACCCTGATATACGCCGCCAGGCAACTACGGAGGTATTTTCATGCCCACAAGGTGGATGTTCTGACCAGTTACCTAATAAAGCAAGTTCTGCTAAGGCCGGAAAAGTCCGGGCGCCTAGCCAAGTGGGTCATAGAGTTAGGCGAACATGATATCCATTATCACCCCCGGACTAGCATCAAGGCCCAAGCCCTCGCAGACTTCCTGGTCGAAATTCCAGACACCATTATGGGAGTGCCAACAACGATCTCCATCAACCCACTTGAGCCTGAAGCTGGTGAAGAACTCTGGAAGTTGTACACAGATGGCGCAACAAGCAAGGAAGGTTCAGGAGCAGGCCTGATCCTATAAAGCCTTAAGGGTGAAGAAATCACTTATGCACTGCGATTCGATTTCCAGGTATCGAACAATGAGGCAGAGTATGAAGCATTATCAACATATAAATAGTACATTCTATTAGACTGCAATAGTAAAATTCTATTAGAATGCATTATCAACATATAAATACTAAAATGTTATCTGAATACAACAGTAAAATTCTAACAGAATTTATTACCAACATAAAAATGACTAACGAAAACCATGATCTAAAGACATGTTTTGTAGATTTTTATTCTACCAATTTATTAACGACCAAATGAATAAAAAAAATTAATAGATTTATCCTCTCAATTTATTAACAATTAAATGAATAACAGACTATGTGATTTTGGGCTTAAGTGTCACACTAAAATGTCAAAATTTCAAAAATAGTCCATGTACTATTTAAAATTATGTGATTTTGGTCCAACACGTTTTGATGGTGCGAGAGAGAGGGTGATATATATATATATATATATATATATATATATATATATATATATATATATATATATATATATATATATATATAAGCTGAGAACGAGAGAATGAATCTGGGCCACTCATTTCGAATATGTCGCTTAAGCGCTCCAGCGTACCGTACCGACTGAATAGATCATATTCACATATGTGTACGCATATTCCTATATGAATACGTATGTTAATATATAAATAATTATAACGAAGTGATTATTCACGGGTGGTGATAGAGGTGACAGTTGTTGGTGGTGGTTGGTTGTGGAGATGGTGGTGGTGGTGGTTGTGGTTGGTGGCGGAGGAAGGTGGTGTATTCATATATGAATATTATTCAATCCTTGTCGGCCAGGTACGCCTGAATATTTTGCGGCAAAAATAAGTGATTAGTTGATAATGATTCCCCATTTTCATAATTTTTATTTTCTCAATTGAACTTATCTCTGTCTTTCTCTCTCTCTCTCTCTCTCTCTCTCTCTCTCTCTCTTTCTCTCTTTCTTTCTTTCTTTCTTTCTCTCTCTCTCTCTCTCTCTCTCTCTATATATATATATATATATATATATATATATATATAATTAAATTAAAATAATAACAAAATTAAATATAAAAATTAAAAAAGAAGTAATGAAAGACATATTTTTCATTTCATGAGGGTTGGATCAAAACCATACAAAAATCCCAACCATAAGGATAAAAACCATATAAGGTATTCTAAATTGGAGCACAAATACATTATTAAATTTTTTGGACCAAAACCATATAATTTTGTAAGTACAAGAACCATTTTTGTATTTTGTCTACTAAAAAAATACTTTAATACTAAAGTATCTAAATCGTAACGATCTTATTTTAAATTAAAAAATGTTCCATTAGGCAAAAAAAAAAAAAAAAAAAAAAAAAAAAAGAAACCATATAAACATTTTATTTTACACAAAGTTGTCAAATTAGAAAAATTTGTTATTGTGAGATCCAATAATCCATTTTTATAAAAAATTTAGAGAAAGACAAGGACACAACAAAGTTGTCAAATTAGAAAAATTTGTTATTGTGAGATCCAATAATCCATTTTTATAAAAAATTTAGAGAAAGACAAGGACACAACAAAGTTGTCAAATTAGAAAAGTTTGTTATTATGAGAACCAATGATCAATTTCTAATAAAAATACAGAAAAGGAAAAGAAGGACAAAATAACACTACATTTAACAACTTTTCCAAAATTTTCTAACAACAAATGCCACGTATTAACAAAAAAGACAAAATTGCAAAAATAGTTCCTGTGATATACAAAATTTTGGGGTTTTAATCAAAACCACAACTTTTTTTGATTGGTGGTTCTTTTGAGCTAGTTTAATTGCGTTTTTGGTCCCTCAATAAACTGAAAAGACTATTATGCCCTTATGATATATTTTTTATGCTTTTTCTTTTTAATTTAAATGAAAAATAAAATAATTACCTAATTTAGGGTCCACCTCTCTCTCTCTCTCTCTCTCTCTCTCTCTCTCTAGTTTTCTGTGAAATCCAAAATGAGTCAACACCCTCCTACTCCTCCAATCAACCCCTCGTCGAACTCATCGGAGCAGCAAGAAAACGAAGCAGCCGTAGCTACCGTCGACTGCCATTACATCCCACCACCACTACAGTCTACCACCATCGCCTTACTGCCATTGGTAAGTCTGTTCAAGATCGTATATTTCTCATGATAGTAAATCCTTGAAACCAGATTAATTATATGAGCCAATGATAATCAATTAAGTAGATCAATGGAGAAAATCTTCATCCTTGGTGGCAGAGAACAGAGCAAATATGAAGTTCTAATCCCATCATCTTCTTTTGATTTCATCCAAAAATTAACCCAAATCAAGTTTCTTTTGGGTTTAAAGTCGCCCCACCGGATACCTGCATATGGAACTGTGGGTGGTGACAGGTGGTGGTGGGGACTGCCCACCACAACAACGACGACGAGTAGTGGTAGCACAACAGCTCCGTTGCTTCTGTCTTCCCAATATAACGGTGGTAAAAGAGGAACAAAGGAGAAAGGATTGGGGTTTGTTTGGGGTTGCTTAGATCAACAGAAAAGATGTTGGAATCCTAAGTCTTGGGGTCCAACCAATCTAATTTATGGAAAGTTTAGTTTATAGCAAGTTGGTCATAAATTTCCTAGTCTAATACAAGTTGGTTTGTTAGGCTATATATACGTGTCCATAATCGAGTTTATGATTATGAGAACAGAATGTAAAAACATTGGTTTTGAGTGATTTTCCAATTAATCAAAGAGTTGTTTTGGTTATTTTGTTTTGCATTCTTGTTTTCAAAACTTTAATTGGTATGAGAGCGAGTTGAAGACTGTGCCGGTTTGAGAGTCGGTTTCAAGAATACCGTAGCCTTTCACTGTGGGCCAGACGCAGCGGGAACCGAGTTCGTTTTAAGGGGGTGTGGATTGTTTTTGATTATGAGTTGAAGCATCTCAACAGCAGCCTCGGTTTTTCTTGATTGGGCTGGTTCTAAGGTAGAGAGAGACCAACCGGATGCACAAAATAAACAGACGAGAAGACGTCAAAGCGGGTGACTTTGATTCGGTTCGTTTTGCGAGTGACGGAAGACGGTAAATGTGGTCGTGTCCTAGTCTTGTTGTTAGGTGGAAAGTTGCTCTCAGAACAAGCTTGATAAAGAGGTTGGGGTGGTGTAAAGAGATAATAGGATGTTGATCGGGTTGAAGAATTCTCTAGAAGGACTTAGAGATTCGGGGATGATTGTTGGAATCTTAAGTCTTGGGGTCCAACCAATCTAATTTATGGAAAGTTTAGTTTATGGCAAGTTGGTCATAAATTTCCTAGTCTAATACAAGTTGGTATGTTAGGCTATATATACGTGTCCATAATCAAGTTTATGATTATGAGAACAGAATGTAAAAACATTGGTTTTGAGTGATTTTCCAATTAATCAAAGAGTTGTTTTGGTTATTTTGTTTTGCATTCTTGTTTTCAAAACTTTAAAAGAAAAAGAGATCGGGTGAGGCTGGAATGGTTTTATGGTGGGCGGAGATGTAGCTCTTCACGGTGGAGTTTTGTGGTCGAATGGAGGCTAGCAGGTGGTGCAGTGGCTATCTCCATATTGCCGGAGGTAGCAGCCCCATTCTTGTTCATTGAAATCGGGAACAAAAGAAAGAAATGGGTATACGACTCGGAGAGAGAGAGAGAGAGAGAGAGAGAGAGAGAGAGAGAGAGAGAGAGAGAGAGAGAGAGAGACTTTTTTTAATTAGTTAAATAAATAAATAAGAATTTAGATTTTTAAAAAAATAAAAGAAATGAAAAACAAATAACCTAAGGGTATTACAGTCATTTCACTATTTAGAGGCATAAAAAACGTAATGAAACTAGCTCAAAATGACCACCAATTTAAAAAAAATCATTGTTGGACTAAAACCTCACAAATTTGCAAACCACAGGGACCATTTTTGCAATTTTGTCTAACAAAAAAAGGAAAGATGATGTTACTATATTCAAATTAGAAAAAAATTTGTTAATTTAATGAAAAAGAATCATTTAATCATGATGACTTGTAAAATAGGCCATGGTGGTCATGGTGTAATTTTTTTTTTTTCAAAATACAATGGCTTTAATAGAGAAAAAGTAAAATATAATAGCTTGTACAGGAAAAAGGCAAGGGTCTCAATGTCGCCGATAATGGTAATAGCGTGACACGTTGTCGGTAAGAAGCCGCCACTACTGCTTCATCGCTATTGCTCAATTTGTCGCCGCTAAAGAGAATATTCGCCGCTAATGCTTGTGTCGTCGGTAATACTTCCTGTCGCCGCTAATGATGAAGTTGCCGCTAATGATAGTATTGTCGGTAATAACAATTTTCATTTTTTATTTTTTTTCAATCAACGATATTTGTCGCCGGTAATAGTGTCGCCGGTAATTACATAACATCCGATATTAATAGTGTCGTTGGTAATTATATAAAACAATCAAACGTTTTATAATTCTAACAAGTAGGAAAGTGTGGCAACAAGTGTAATTTACAAATAAAGCTCTTCCCTACATACTATTATCTCCGTTCCCATTGTTTCCTCGATTATTATGTGATTGAAAAACGAGTAAAGCTCATCCTTAGATGTCGGTTCATTGTGTATTGCCCGAAGATTTTTCAACTACATAATAAATAACAACATATATAAACTTATAAGTTAAATAATCAAACATAAACAAAAACTATCAAAGTACATTGCTATTTTTAAAAGTACGATAAAAAGCCAAAGTACATTGCTATTTCTTGCACTTGGGACAAAAACCCAATTACCAAAGTTTTTAGCAAATAATCACCACAAAACAAAAATTACCAAATCAACATGCATATTATGATGCCAAAGTAGATTGCTATTTTTAAACTAAGACAAAAAACCGAAGTACATTGCCATTTCTTGCACTTGGAACAAAAACCCAATTACCAAAGCTTTTACCAAATAATCACCACAAAACCGAAATTACCAAATCAACATGCATTTTATGATGCCAAAGTAGACTGCAATTTTTAAACTAAGACAAAAAAACCAAAGTACATTGCTATTTCTTGCACTTGGGACAAAAAACCCAATTACCAAAGCTTTTAGAAAATAATCACCACAAAACCAAAATTACCAAATCAACATGTATTTTGTGATGCCAAAGTAGATTGCTATTTTTAAACTAAGACAAAAAACCAAAGTACATTGCTATTTCTTGCACTTAGGACAAAAACCCAATTACCAAAGCTTTTAGCAAATAATCACCATAAAACCAAAATTACCAAATCAACATGCATTTTATGATGCCAAAGTAGATTGCTATTTTTAAACTAAGACAAAAAACAAAAGTACATTGCTATTTCGTGCACTTGGGACAAAAACCCAATTACTAAAGCTTTTAGCAAATAATCACCACAAAACCAAAATTACCAAATCAACATGCATTTTATGATGCAAAAGTAGACTGCTATTTTTAAACTAAGACAAAAAAAAAACCAAAATACATTGCTATTTCTTACACTTGGGACAAAAACCTAATTACCAAAGCTTTTAGCAAATAATCACCACAAAACCAAAATTACCAAATCAACATGTATTTTATGATGCCAAAGTAGATTGCTATTTTTCAACCAAGACAAAAAGCCAAAGTACATTGCTATTTCTTACACTTGGGACAAAAATCTAATTACTAAAGCTTTTAGCAAATAATCACCACAAAACCAAAATTACCAAATCAACATGCATTTTGTGATGCCAAAGTAGATTGCTATTTTTAAATTAAGATAAAAAACCAAAGTAGATTGTGATGGTTGCGATGGTTGTGAAATCGATGGGAGAGCAGAAGGTTTATGACCGATGCCTCTGATATGGCCACGTCGCTCTCCTAATACTTTCTCAAAAGCAGCTCTTTCTTGAATGGGTGTTAACTCACTTTCACCTTGGGTTTGTTCTAAGAGCTCTTCGACTGACCGATTCCGTAATTCCCAAAAG